ACCTAGCAACAGCAGAGAAAGAGATTACTATCCCTCGTCTACACCACCCCCAGTTTTATGTTTTTGACGGTGTACGTTATTGCCAGGATGTTGGGACTTTCAAATAAGACTTAATAATTGCCTAGGAGATTCCAAGCTGCGTTTGTAAATTTAGAGGGAAGGCAACAAGTCGAAAAAAAAAATGTCAAGTACTCAAAGTTGGCCTTTTAATAAGGACACATGAGAGCAGTGCGTGGGCCTTAAGTGGGATCTCTCTCCTCATCCTTGAGTCACTGAAGCCAGCAAGAGTCAGGGGTGGGTGGGCATCCCTGCCCCTACACGCTAGCTTTTGGGGGCAGCTTCTGTGTCTCCCTCTGTCTTCCCTGGGTCTGTGAATGGACATGGTCACGTGGCAGAGCAGGGGGACCCAGGCATGTGGTTCCACTTTCTCACTAGTGATGAAATCCATCAAAGATTTAACTATTAAGAGTTGCATTAAAAAGAAAAGTTCTATGAAATGGTGTCTCCTGCACTCCAAATCTAGGGAGCTGATTTTGATTGCTAAAATGCTTGCCCTCCAATTGATCAAACTACTATTTTTTTGGTTTGTAGACCCACGGCTATTGTTTATTTTTGCCTTGCCTGGTGTCACTTAGATAAACATAAATTACTGCCCTCCCCCCGCCCCGCCCCTTGCCTCCTACTTAGTAATTTGCCAGTGGTGGGAGGTAGGACATGTGTCAGCCTTGAGAGAAAGGAAGCATATTGTTTCCTCCGGTCACTAGGCTGACAAAATAGTCAACCCCGATGATGTGTCCTAAAGTAATGAAAAATAAATAACTCTCAATAATTGAGGGTGCCGGTTTTCTGGGGCGTGCAGCTCACTGCAGTTTAATTTTTTTTTTTTTAGTTTTATTTCATTGTGGGACTTTGTGATGGATGCCTTGCTGTACTACCCAGATACAGCCCTTCAGGGATGAAGGGCTCATTGCCTCAAGCTCTGGGAGTGTTGCCACAGACTCTCAGGGCCAGCGCCCTCTGGGGATTACATCAGCTAAACAAGGCCCCCTTGCCAGAGGGGCACCCCTCCCTGGGTGGAGGCACCCCTCCTTTGGTGAAGGTCGAGCCCACTCCGGACAACTCGCAAGGGCCATGGCTGCTTCTGAGTGCCCCTTGTGGACGTCTCTTGAGCCTGCAGCTCTCTCTCTCTCCTTCCTCTCCCTAGTCCTGTTCCCTCCCCTTCCCTCCCCTTCCCTTCCCTCCCCTTCCCTTCCTCCCCTTCCCTCCCCTTCCTTCATTCCTTCCCTTCCTTCCTTCCTTTCCTTCCTTCCCTTCCTTCCCCTTCCCCTCCCTCCCCTCCCCTTCCCTCCCTCCCTTCCCTCCCCCCCCCCTCCCTCCTCCCTCCCCTCAACTCCCCTCCCCCCTCCCCTCCCCTTCCCCTCCCCTCCCCTCCCCTCCCTACAAAACCTCTTGCACTTGAATCATCATCTTGGAGTTGGAACCCAGCCTTAGATGTTGTTATTGTTTTACTTTGCTTTGAAGAGGAATTTTTCAAATCTTGACATTAACTTCAAATGTATCGTAACAGTGAAGAACTGATGTGAGAGTTGGGAAATTTTCTATTTTTCATACATCCTTTTCAGAAATTGTTGTATAGCATGAGTTATTTTAAAATTAGTTTCACTGCTGCAGTGCTTAATATAACTAAGGGTAGAGAGAAACATTATGGGAGAAGATCAGGTTCTGAGGATAACAGCCATAAAGTTGAAGAGAAAAAGGAATCCGAGATGACAGATTCTGAACCTCTGAGAGAGGGTGACATCAACATACACCAGCAGGCTCTCTAGGCTGTGAAACTTTTACAATAGTCAACGTAAGACAATAAAAGGACAGAAGCACTGAGAGGAGAGGAGTGGTGTAGAGATGGGTTGTGGATATAATCCCCAGTCAGGGTGTGTGCGGGAGGCAACTGATCTCTCACATTGATGTTTCTCTTGCTTTCTCTCTTTCCCTTCCTCTCTGAGATCAATTAAAAAAATAAGTTTTTGTAATTATCAATAAATCTTCTATAAATACCGGTGTGCATATTTTTATGTGCACTTAAGTTTTCAACTCCTTTGAGTAAATTACCAAGAACATGATTGCTGGAGTATATGGTATGAGTAAGTTTAATTTTTTTTTAAAGGTATTTGTGTGATCAGTTGTTTAACTTTTGTCTTTTTAAAAAAATATTTTTTATTGATTTTTTTAGAGAGAGGAAGAGAGAGGGATAGAGAGTTAGAAACATCGATGAGAGAGAATCATCAATCAGCTGCCTCTTGCACACCTCCTACTGGGGATGTGCCCGCAATCAAGGTACATGCCCTTGACGGGAATCGAACCTGGGACCTTCAGTCCACAGGCCAATGCTCTATCCCCTGAGTCAAACTGGTTCCGGCAGAGAAGGTTTAATTTTGTAAGAAACTACCAAACTGTCTTCCAAAGTGGCTGTACCATTGGCATTTCCACCAACAATGAGTGAGAGTTCCTATTGCTCTACATCCTGGTCAGCATTTGGTGTTGTATTTTGGACTTTGTCTCTTTTAATAGGTATATAATGGTATCTTGTTGTTTTAATTTCCATTTCCTTGTGATGTGGGACATCTCATGTTATTTGCCATCTGTTTATCTTCTGTAGTGAAGTTTCTGTTCATGTCTTTGACCTATTTTTTTTAAGTCTAGTTTTATATTTTTAATATGTCTTTATTGATCTCAGAGGAAGAAAGCAGGATGGAGAGATAGAAACATCGATGAGAGAGAAACATTATCTCTGCCTCCTGCACGCCCGCTGCTGGGGATCCAGCCAGCATCCCAGGCATGTGCCCTCACTGGGAACTGAACCAGTCACCTCTAGCTTTATGGGTTGATGCTCAACCACTGAGCCACACCAGCTAGGCTGATCTATTTTTTAATCAATATATGTTTTTTTTAATTGTTGAGTTTTGAGAGTATTTTGTATATTTTGGATAGCAATCCTTTATCAATGTGTCTTTTTCAAATATTTTCTCCCAGTCTGGCTTTTTAAAATTTTTATTCTCTTGACATTGTTTTTTTGTAGAGAAGTTTTTAATTGGAATGAAGTCTAGCTTATCAATTATTTCATACATTAGGTCTTTCCTGTTGTATCTAAAAAGGCATCATCATACCCAAGGCCATTTAGATTTTTAACTTACATTTTCCTCTAGGAATTTATAGTATTGCATTTTACCTTTAAGTCTATGATCCATTTTGAGTTAAGTTTTGTAAAGATTGTAAGGGCTGTGTCTAGAATCATTTTTGTTGCATGTGATGTCCAGTTGTTTCAGTATCATTTGTTGAAGAGACTATCTTTACTCCATTGTATTACCTTTGCTGCTTGTTAAAGATCAACTAACTATATTTTAGGTGGTCTATTTCTGGGCTTTCTATTCTCCTCCTTTGATCTATTTGTCTCTACTCTTCCCCCTCCCAATACAACACTCTCTTGATTACTGTAGCTTTACAGTAAGTCTTATTTCCATATTGAAATGTTTAAGTGTTTCAGCCCAAGTATTTCATATGGTCTGTCATTTTGCCTGTAGAGTACCATGACTCTTTTGACAAATATTTTTATAAGACAAAACTTGTCAAGTGAATTGCCTCTGTTTGTGGTCCTTTTGAATGTTTCACCAAGTTTAATTGCTACAATATCATAGAGCTTCTCAATCTCTTTTTTTTCTTTTTCTTTTTTTGAAGTGAACATATCAAGATTTTATTGTCATATAATAAAACAAAATATGAAGCTTAGAACTGACCACTTGACCGTTTCTCTTATCTCCTCCCAGTTCAAAATGCTTCAATATTTGGCCAACCAAAAAAAGGTCCAGCAAAAATGCTAACTTAGGGTGCTAGGATAGCAGTGTAACCTGGGACAGTCCTGGAGAGGGTTCACCGTGTCTAAAAGGCCTCTCATGATCCTGTCCTCACCCTTACGCCCCTCTCCCTGCCGGTTCTCACCCAGAGCTTTCCTTTGCGAGACTCATGTTCTACTCCTGCCTTTCCTGTGGCTCTGCCTGGAAACACTTTGTCTCCTTCCTCACTTGGCTGGCTTCTCCTCCTACAACCCACGCCTGTGGCTCAGTTTCTCTAGGCACTTTCCCTTGATCCCTCGATGTGCTCCCTGCCCCACCTCTATTGCAGCCCTTGTTTACTTGTTTCTCCTTCTTTTCAAAACATTTTTAGTCCAATGTCCTATTACTTTCTGTTCCCATGGGCTAGACACATGTGGCCTTCAGGAGGAGAGAGACTGTGTTTGTCTTGTTTGTTGTGGTTCCTTAATAAATATTTCTTAAGTGAATGAAGGGACTGAGGTTCTGTCACCATTTCTAAATTTGTGCCACTTAAATGGGAACTTTCGATAAGTAATTTTTTATTTTTAACATGAAACAATTTTTCCCTTGAAATAAATGGATCTGATGAAAAAAGATGACACAAGTTGAATTAACAGTCCATGTTTAGAAACGTTACACGAAAAAAAGAAATCTGCATTACTCTAATACTAATGAGCCAGTTATGAGTCCCAGCTCACCACTGACATAACTAATGCCTTCCTTTTCTTGCTTTATCAGGAGGGTATGAGAAATAAGAACTAAACCCCAGATTTCTTCTGTAGATTCTCTGAAGCGTTGCTCAAGTGTGTATAATATTAAAACAGCACCAGGAGCTGCAGCAACCATGCCAACAGAAATGATAATGGAAAAGTGATGTAAAACTTACTAATTTTTTTTAAGAGGCTCACCCAGTAATAGCCATTTAAGTCTGGCCCAGTTTTCCTTAATTATTTGGCACAAAGATAAGTGATAATCTTTCAGGTGCTCTGGGCATTAACAACGTTGTGTTGGTTTGACCAAATAAACTTATGATTCCTTCCACATCAAGAATTTTAGGGGAGTCTTGCAAGTTCTGTGTTATACCCTCAGATTCAAATTATGACTCTTTTTCCCCCTCCTTCACTTCCCTTTTAGGCTCTTTCAACAGACTTATTCTTCCATCCGTAAGTATCAATTGAAATGTTTTTGTTTTCAGAAATGTGCATTTCATCGCTGAACTACGTAACTACATTAACTCTTTGTTGGTTTTTGTATCCAGTTAAATTCCTTGTGAAATTGGCTTGAGTTCAGTTGCACCTTCAGACTATGTTAGAATAATCTTCCTTCAGGGAGATTGGTTATTAGGCCTTTCAAACTCGTAGCAGAGACTTTCTTCTTTTTCTTTTTCTTTTTTTAAATACATATTTTATTGATTTTTAATAGAGAGAAAGGGAGAGAGATAGAGAGCTAGAAATGTCGATGAGAAACATTGACCAGCTGTCTCTTGCACACCCCCTACCGGGGATGTGCCCGCAACCAAGGTACATGCCCTTGACCGGAATCGAACCTGGGACATTTCAGTCCGCAGACCGACGCTCTACCACTGAGCCAAATCGGCTTCGGCAAGACTTTCTTCTTGTAAAATAGAGAACTCCACTGAAGGAAATTGGCCCAGACTAATAGCGCAAGGAACCTGGGCTGGTTGGGTCCTACTTCTGCCTTAATGAGCCCTACAGTCTTGAGTGTGTAATTCACGCTCCATCCCTAGTCTCCTCATCCTGGAACAGGGGAGAGCCATGCTGAGCCTGTTGGAATCTGAGGCAAAAGGAAACATCAGTAACTTTCCCTTGATCCCTTGATGTGCTCCCTGCCCCACCTCTATTGCAGCCCTTGTTTACTTGTTTCTCCTTCTGTCTTAGTTTAAAATTTCATTTTTGTTCATAATAGAATTATTTGTATTATTTTGGATATGTTAAACTATTTAAAATAATGTTATTTATCTTTACTACCGAGTTTTTTGGTACCCCCTTAAGTTTTATACCTGAGCTTCACACACCTCACCCTAGAACCTGGCCCTGGAAAAGGGGATAAGTCACTGTGTCTGTTTCATAATGGTGCGGGTCCCCTGGAGGGGAAACTGGATGTCACAGAGCTGTCAGCTTTGATACAGAAATGCAAAGGGTTGTTATTTTGTTGAGAGAGTCATAGAATCTGATGAATAAATGTTATTTGTGAACCAATCCTACTTCCCACAGTTTTGATTTGGAAGTTTGTACTTTTATCACTGTGCTTTGTTTTGGAGCTTCACACTAATGTGCAGTAAAGCACAGCATCCAACAAGAGGTGCGCTTTGGTCTACTCTTCTAAGAATAGATGACTGATGACTTTGACCCTGACACATTCCATACTTAGGGAGGGTCAGCATTACTGATGAGCTGGGTTCCCCCATTACCTCCTGAAGGTTACTTGTCAAGCACATTCAGAAACCACATTCATTTTGGAGGATTCCTTGAGGATTTATTCCTCCCAAACAGTACCTTATAAAAGTTACTTATATTCCATAGCTATTATGTTTCTTAGCTATTTATGCTTGTGCTTTCCTTATGAAGAAATATAGTGGAGGTAAGGGAGGGGGCATAGCAGGCAAAAGTGGAGAGTCTTGGTGACAATAAAACATTAGATTGTGTTAATGAAACCTAAAACATTAGATGTTGGCCACCGTGTCTGTGTATGTCACACAATTGGAAGAGTATTCCAGTGAGAAGACTGAAATAAATTTTGTGTAGAATTGTCCTAGCAGAAAGGGGTGGGGTTTAAGTTCAGGAATCACAGCTTAAAGCACAGTAGCTTTCCGGTTTTCTCAAAGAAATCTGCAATTGCATCCACCGGAAGTGCAGAAAGGCTGAGAAGAGAAGGCATTTAGACAGGATAAGGGCACTTGGACTTGTTCCAATAATGCTAGTATAAACTGCACCCATCCGAGCTCTCATTAACTGGAAATTTGGCTACTATTATTCTTTTAAGTCTTAACTATATGAAATACTAAGCCTGACATTTTATATGTGTCTTTAATATAATGCTATTTCTATTGCATGTAGCAATAGTGATATTTATTGAAAGCTTTATTAGAAATTATATTCAGGAAGTGGGGTTTCTGTTACTAGGAATAGTAAAAGGACTGTGACACATACTGCACAAGGTGTAGGAAGAGAAGTGTGTAGAACAGAGCTTGTGAGAGGATAGCAAAAGCCCAAATCTTGTGCAAATGTGCCTTTCACCGACTGATGGCCTGGAGGTGGGTGGGTGGCATGGAAAGGAATGTTGAAGGATAATAGATTTTCTGACCCACAGTGTCTGTCAGAGAGGGAAAGTTTGCACTAGGGATAGGAAATGGCAGCTGAGCGTGAGCTGTGGGATGTGTCTCACATTCCAGGAACCCTGTGATTTAACTGGAGAGCAAAGTACAGGATGTTAAAGGAAAGCAAATTGTTTAACTTAGGTGCCTAGGATGAAATGTTTCAACCTTGCAATTACTTTTTCTGGTACACCTTGCAGTTACTTTCGATAATATTTGTATTTGCATTTTTAAAATTCTACTTATAATTAAAAACATTTTTGATGTAAAATAATGAGACCTTGATATGTCTGATCTCTTTTTTCCCCTAGTTACCTATGGACAGTGTAAATGATATCTATGAGCTCCATGTAACTGGACATGCACCGAATGAGCTTTTATTCTCTAATAGTACACGCTTATCATTTGACAGCAAGAGAATGACGGTCTTCATTCAAACAGACAAAACCGTGTACAAGCCAAAGCAAGAAGTGAAGTTTCGTGTTGTTACACTCTTCTCAGATTTCAAACCTTCCAAAACCCCTGTAAACATTCAAATTATGGTAAGTGGCAGACAGAAATGAAGGGGGGAGTTCGAGCCACTTTACTGAAGCTCTCTTGTAAGTTTCATACACGTTATCTTAGAATTCCCCATGGACAAGCTTCCCTCCCAACATGGAATGCTCTCTCTAGGAGGGGGAGCTGGGGTTCCAGTCCTGGCTTCTTCATGAATTTATTTATTTGTTAACCATTTATTGAATTTCTGTTCCAGGTGCTGGGAGAGGGCAGTGAACATAACCGATTAGGTCCCTGTTGACATCGAGCTTATATTTCAGTTGGAAGATAGACAATAGAAACACACACACACACACACACACACACACACACACAGATAGGTAGTTGTGTGTGTGTGTGTGTGTGTGTGTGTGTGTGTGTGTGTGTGAGAGAGAGAGAGAGAGAGAGAGCGAGCGAAAGAGAGAGATTGCTATTTCCTATTGGGTTGTCAGGGAAATACTATTTGAGCAGAGGCCTAAAGGAAATAAAAGAATGAGCTCATACAAACAGAGGGAACAGCACATGCATAGGCCCTGAGATGGGAGCTTGTTAGGAGCTTTGGGGGAACCACACGCTGACAGTGTGTCTGAGCCCAGGGAATGAGGGAACCCGTTTTAGGAGATACAGGTAAGTGGGTTGGAGGAGGGGTCTTACAGGGTCTTGTTGGCCATTTACATGGACTTTGCATTTTATTCTGAGTGAAATGAGAACTCACTGGAGAATTCTGAGTAGAAGCATAATGTGATATGACATAAATCTGAAAAGGAACTGCTCTGGTTGTGGGATCTTAAGGAAATTAATTAAGCTCTCTGACCCTCAGTTTCCTTATCTGTAAAATCTATCAAATAATAGCATCATATGCAAATTGGTTGGGATGCCAGCAGGGAGGAGTTCGAGCCATCTTACTGAAACTCTCTTATAAGTTTTGTATGTTATCTTATCATGCATTCCCACCCCCTGTGCCAGCCTGAAGACATGTGGCTCGTGTCCCTGCCCCCTGCACCAGCCCGAGAGTCTGCAAGTGCATGGAGAAGCCCCTCCGCTGTGGGCCTGGCTGAGGGTTCGCAGGCCTCCCCTGGCTCTGGCATACCTCTTTGGGGTGATGGATCACGGGGCTCCTGCATGGTGACAGGGCACAGGCCAGGCTGGGGGTCCTCCCCCACCTCCACGAGTGCACAAAACTTGTGCACTGGGCCACTAGTGTATAATAATATCTCAGAGAAACTTTTTGTGAGGATTAAGTGAGATAATTCAAGTAAAGCCTTTAGAACTGTGCCTGGCACCTACCATGTTTCCCCGAAAATAAGACATCCTCCGAAAGTAAGACCTAGTGCATGGAAAGATAAGACATCCCCTGAAAATAAGACCTAGAGCAACTTTGGGAGAAAAAATTAATATAAGACACTGTCTTATTTTCAGAAAAACAGGGTAGTACATGCTCACTAAATGTCAGCTATTATTATTGTAGGAGCTTCCTTTGGCAGGGAGTCACTGGTCCTTTCGTGCTTGAACACTCCAATTATCTGGAGGTAGCATGGTTAGCAGACTGAGTGTGTTCCTGTGAGAACCAAGATGAAGACAGTTGAGACCCAGCTGGATGTGGTTTCTATATTTAAGCTAAGGAGAATGCTAGACATTAAATTGTAACATGGAAATAAGGCAACCAACTCCGAGTCCCCGTTTGTCTGGGACTCTCTTGATTTTAAAACTGAAAGTCCCTGGTCCCAGGAATCTGGGACATTGGTTACCCTCAATGCTCTGATGAATAACAGAATAGGAGGTAAAGTCAGGCTTTTAGTTCAGTGTCTTTCTATTCTTAGTTTATTTGTTATTAATTGAACAGACAAAAATCAAGCAAAGAAACATGTGTACACAAGACTTAAAGCCATGGTGTGTTTGTAGTAAATAGCACGTTGGTTGGCATGGTGCTTCATGCATACTTAGTGGATTAAACTAGGATTACTTCAGAGCTGGCGGCTCTGTGAATTTCTGCCCCTGCTGTGTATTGGAGTATCTATAAAGTAGGCTATCATAGTGAATAGCATTTCTAAATTCACATGACTCTCTGAGCAGGGCTTTATGGATTCCATTCGCACCATCTTTTATCATTTATCCACATATACTGAGAACTTAGTCTATGCCAGAAACTATGGGTAAAGGTAAATGCCTGCTTGTCTTTAGCTGCTTACACATCCAGTTTTCTTTCTTCTACCTTAAAGTCAGCACTGAATAAAGTGCCTGTTTGAGCCATTAACCCAGAGCTAACCCTGCTCCTTCTGAACAGCTGCTCCGTGCATTTTTATAGTTTTGCCTCTCTATTTTGCTCTAGCACCTGCCTTTGAAACCTTTAATTTGCAGATTCTTTCTGCTCTTATCTCTAATTTTCACCTGCCACATTCAACTTTCCCAGAAACAGTTAGAGAGACCTTCCTCTTGCTGCCTCTGGTCCTGAGAGATCCTACTGGCGTGGCCCATGTGTGGCACTCTTGGCTCAGGGGAGTGGAATTTAAACTAAAATTCCACCTGGAACGCAAAGTATTTGGGAACAATGAAGGGGAAGTGGCTATACTCTGCTCTCTGCATCCAGGTAGTGAGGCTGAGACATAAGACAAGTCTACTGCCTCCTTCCTTGTAACTTGCAGAGGCCAGGTCATAGCATTGATGCGGATGCCCACACCCTGTACTCCTCCATCTGAAAACAATCATTTGGGCTGGACTTCATCAGACAGTGATGCTTTCTACATTATTCAATGAGGAATAGTTGAGTTGATTTCTTGGAAAAATTTCTCATAAAAAAGTGGGACTTGGTTTAACAAGAGCCCCTGACTTGGACAGTTGTATTCCCCTTACACAGCACCACCTACAGGCTAAATAGAGAAGTGCATCTGATGGCTACTGGCTGACTTCTTTTTGTTTTGTTTGTTTGTTTTAATTAACCTTTATTGTTGAGATTATTACAGAGGTCCTTCTTTTCTTTTCCCCCACAGCTTCCCTTCACCCGGTCCCCACCCCACCACAGGCCCTCACCACTCTATTGTCTGTGTTCATAGGTAATGCATACATGCATTTAAGATCTTTATCTAATCTTTTCCCACACCCCCACACCCCTTCCCTCTGAGAACTGTCAGTCTGTTCTATTTCCATGCCACTGATTCTATTCCATTCACGATTATATTCTGTTCATCAGATTTTTCATTCGTTTGATTTTTAGATTCAGTTGTTGATAGATATGTATTTGTTGCCACTTTGTTGTTATTTATTTATTTATTATTATTATTATTATTATTATTTTTTTTACCTTTACCCTTTTCTTCTTCTTCCTCTTCTTAAAGAATACCCTTCAGCATTTCATATGATACTGGTTTGGTGGTGATGGACTCCTTTAGGTTTTTCTTGTCTGTGAAGCTCTTTATCTGACTTTCAATTCTAAATGATAGCTTTGCTGGGTAGAGTAAGATTGGTTGTAGGTTCTTGCTATTCATCACTTTGAATATTTCTTGCCACTTTCTTCTGGCCTGCATAGTTTCCATTGAGAAATAAGCTGACAGTTGTATGAACATTCCCTTGTAGGTAACTAACTGATTTTCTCTTGCTGCTTCTAAGATTCTCTCTTTGTCTTTTGCTCTTGGCATTTTAATTATGATGTGTCTTGGTGTGTTCCTCTTGGGATTCCTCTTGTTTGGGGTTCTCTGTGCTTCCTCAACTTTCAAGTCTATTTCTCTCACCAAGTAGGGGAAGTTTTCTTCAAATAGGTTTTCAATATCTTGGTCTCTCTATCCTTCTGGCATCCATAATTTGGATGTTGGTATGCTTAAAGTTGTCCTAGAGGCTCCTTACACTATCTTTATCTTTTTGGATTATTTTTTCTTTTTGCTTTTCTGGTTGGGTGTTTTTTGCTTCCTCATATTTCAAATCATCTATTTGATTCTTAGGATTCTCTATTCTACTGTTGAACCCCTGTATATTATTCTTTATCTCAGTCAGTGTATGCTTAATTTCTGACTGGTCCTTTTCCATTTTTTGGCATTCTCACTAAGGTCCTTGAAAGTCTTACTAAGTCCCTTGGAGGTTTCTAGAAGATTCTCGAGTAACCTTATAACTGTGGTTTTTAACTCTATATTTAGTAGTTTGCTTTCTTCCATTTCTTTCATTTGTGACATGTTTCTTTGTCTTTGCATTTTGACTGATTCCCTGTGTTTGTTTCTATGTATTGGGTAGAGCTGCTAAGTCTTCTTGAGTTGATAGAGTGGCCTTGTGTGGTAGGTGTCCTATAGGGCCCAGAGGCTCAGCCTCCCCAGTCTCCTGAGGTGGACACTGTAGGTGCACCCTTTGTGGGCTGTATGCTTAGTCTTGCTGTAGTTGAGCCTTGATTGCTATTGGTATCACTGGTAAGAATTGACCTTCAGGCCAATTGGCTGAGGGGACTACAGTGGTAGAGCTGCTGTGCAGAAGACACCCTTATGGAGCAGGACTTGCTTCAGTGGGGCTTTGGTGCTCACTGAGTCTGCCCCTTGAGTGTGTTGCTTATGGATGTGTAGAGTTGTAATCACACTGACCACTGGGTACACTGGCTCTGGGTCACCAGGGAGGTGAAAAGTCAGCCACTGCCTGGGGCCACCCAGCAGGAGCTACAGAGAGATCTGCAGATTCCTCCTCTTTGTATGGGGTTGGGAAGTGCCCAGACGAGAAGCAAGGTAGGGTGGTGCTGGTGCCTGGTCTTGGGCCTTTTATTGATAGGTTTGGGGCTCCCTGACCCAGCTTCAACTTGTTTGATAGGTCTTTAACCTGAGAAAGGACAGGCCATTCATATGCAAAAGCCATTGCTCATAGCTTGGTTGGGGTTGTAAACTGAGTGAGGTGGGGTTTTAGGGAACCACCAGGGCAAACAGAAATGGCTGCCACTCAGCCTTGCACCAGGGTGGTCCCAGCATGGGAACACGACTACTACGAGCATCTCCATCTGGAAGAAAGCCTCCCCCGAGTTCCTGCCCTGATGCCAGACAGTCCGATTTCTCCTCATATGTTTCTGGGTTCCTCAGAGCCTTAACTGGCACTGGAACTCAGAGGAAGCTGGAGCTTGTAAGTTCAGTTCATGGTGCCAGCCTTTTAAGAGGAGCAGCTGCATCTCTAGTAGCCATCACTCAGCCCCAATCTGCACTGGTTTTTACAGCCTGTAGTTCTTACTGCCTGTAGTGACTTTTTTCCCCAGCTCTGAGATCCTGGGCTGGGCGTCTGGTGTGGGGCTGGGACCCCTTGCTCCTCCTGGTGGCCTCTGCAGAGGCGATCTCCCTCCTGATTAAAAAAGCAGCACACAAGGGTGCTGGACCAGCTGTTCTGAGCCTCTGCACTTCCTATCAGTCTCAGTGCCCTTTCTGATTTACTTCTCTGGTTGTAGGACTTCCACTCAGCCAGCTTTCTAGTGGTTCTGGGTGATGGTTGTTCTGTATTTTAGTTGTCATTTTGGTGTGGTTGTGGGAGGCAGCGAGTACAAGCATTTGCCTACGCCACCATCTTGGTTCTCTCTCCCGGCTGACTTTTTTGGGGCCCATCTTGCTCAGCCAAGAATGACTGACCGTAGGATGTAGCTATATTGCATATCACAAATATTCAGTGTTGTGTTTTTTTAAACCACTGGGTCTTATTCATTTTTTTCTGACCCAGTAACAGATCTTTTCAGGAAGGAAAGAGGTTTTAGAGCCTTGCTTGTCCAATTCTGCCCTAATTTTGGTCTCTTCCAGCCAATCTGGCCTAACACTATTGCAGTAAGTGCCTTGGACACTGTGATGGAAGCTGGCACAGTTGGATTCTAGCTTGGCCTCTGTTCCTGAAAGAGGTTGTTACTCTTGGCACAGGTGAATCACCTTATGAGGGAACAGATGTTGGCATGGGGACATGTCCTCACTGTGCCGTGGCATTCTGACCTGGAGCAGCAGTGGTTAAACCAGAACCTCCTTCCTGGCCAGGTGAGGGCACCTTGTTTAAGTGATTCAGCTTCTCTAATTCTACATGCTGGACAGTCAGTGTGTGCATTTTCCAGGACTCCAGGGAGTGGCAGAAATACTCCCTGCAGACATATTTTTCTGCCAGGGAGTGCACTGCTCAAGATAGCCTGGCACAGGCAGCTGGCGCTGTGCTGTGGAAGCAGCTGATGGAGAGCCAGAGCCATCTAGATGTTACTCAAAGGGCGGGGGCGGGGGGTGGCTTTTCCAGCTTCTCCTTGTGAAGCTGTTCTAACTGAGACAGGGGCACTGGCTGTGTGGATCCCTTGCAAATGATGGGTTCTGCTGTGATGCCACCATGCATGGCCTGTTGAAATCTCGATGTGCTGTGCAAAGACTACTGGTGTTTCTGCATTCTCTATGTCTGCCTGTTAGTGACAGGGGTAGGTTCAACACAGGCTTGAGAAATCAGAGGGATTATCTCATTCACTGCCAACCTTCCAGATCCTCCATATTCAAAGCCATCAAAGCCTTCAGTTCAGACTTCCTTGGTTTGTAGGGCCATGGCACCACCTGGGAGAAATGTGCAGCCTCACCAAAGTAACACATCAGCAGAGTATAAACACTCCTTCCCCTATGCTTTCAATAGCCCTGGGAGTTCTCGTTATTACTTTTTTATCTTTGTCAGTCTGACAAAAGAAAAATGGGATTGCATTGTTTTCAGTTGCATTTTTTAAAGAATTATTAGACAGCACATATTTATTAGCTATTTGTGTTTCTTCCTTTGTTTTTGAGCCTTTAACTCCGTAATCCTCCCATGCACCGAGCTGGGGCAGGCAGAGGAGAGCCAGCTGCTGGTTACAATGCCTACTCCAGGAATTAGCCAAGGACGGTGACCTGCTTATTCTTGATGGGCTTTTTGGTCTTTGGTTTTTAACAATTAGTTTCTGGCTGCTCAGTTCTCAGCATTGTGCTTGCTCCTGACTTTCACCTTCTCCTTCACTTGGGGGGAGAGATTTCTTCTGGCTTTTAATAACTCGACTAAACCCAGTGATTCTAGTTAAAGGACAGAGAATAAGGGAAAGTATTTAACCCCTGTTCTTAGGAGTTCACAATCTAGTCGGTAACAAACAAAATATCAGCCCTCACCCCTCCAGGTAGCTAGTGAATACTTCAAAGAGTAAGATAAACTCCAGAGAGATAAACTCCAGATTCCTAGGGACTTCTCAGGAGGCGGTCGTTTCTGCCTGTTAGAGGCCAGACATGTGCTTATTTCACCTGTTGGACAAGGAAGGGCAAGTATTCCATCCAGCAATTGTAGGGGCTTAGATGCATGAGCTTTTGGGATAAAATGCAAACAAATCTGTATGCTTGGAGGAAGATGAGCCTAGAAATATAAAAAGGGTCGGTTTACTAAGCCTTGTAAACTGCGAAGTAGTGTAGGACTCATTCTGCAGGTAAACACAAAAGGTTTAGTGACCTAGTGGTCTAAGAGAATGATCATAGCCGCTGTTTATTCACTGCTGATTATATACCAGGAATTGTGCCGACTATTTCTGCCACTTAGCCTCAGTCTCTCAGATTTGTGTTTAGGGATAACACTGCTAGTAGTGGGGAAGATGTAATGGAGGAGAGAGATTATTTGCAGTAGTTAGAAAACAAGGACCTGGTGGCTGTATGGGAGGATGAAAAGCAGACAAATTAGGGAGACAGTAAAGACACAGAGATGACAGGGCTGGGAATGTCAGAGGAATCAGGGATGACTGCTGGTTTGGCTAGATGAATGGTGTGAGAGGGGGTTGTTGTCTGGGAGAGTATAGGAATAAGTAAGTGTTTTTCATACATCCCCTGGGCTACACTATTATTGAATTAAAAGATAATGGGCTTGAATCATGAATTCTACTATGTAATCCTATCTAATAAAGGGGGAATATGTTAATGGACCCTTACGCTGTCACAAATATGGCAGCATTCACAGCCAATGAGGAGGGAATATGCTAATTGACTGCCTGCCCTAAAAGATGGTGGTGCCCACAGCTACAAGATGGCTGCACCCAGTCCCCTCAGTCCCACTGGGGCGGCAGGTGTGCAGCAAGGCTGGGCCCACCCCCAGGAAGACCCGGCCCTGCCTTGTGCCTGCCTCTGGAGTTCCCCAACCCCATAACCCCCCACCCCCACCCCCACCCCCCACCCCCACCCCCCAGCCACCCAGGGCAGCCTGAGGCTCAGGTAACCACAGCCAGCTGAGGCTTGTACTGCCAGCAGTGGCAGCAGCAGAGGTGTGATGGGGGTGTCACCTTTCCCTGATCGCTGGGTCGCCTCCCGCCCCTGAGGGCTCCCAGACTGTGAGAGGTGGCAGGCTGGGCTGAGGGACCCCTTTTCCAGTGCATGAATTTTCATGCACCGGGCCTCTAATAGTGTTATAATATTGGAGCATGCTAATCGCTTATAGTTGAGTACTTACCTAACCTCTCTAGGCATCAGTTTTCTCCCAACTATACTTTTAGCTAATCCTGCCTGAAGGAGAATTTTAGTGATTGAATGATATATGAATGGTAATGATTAGGCAGAGTGTCTGACACATAGTCTAAGACACACGTGTCAAACACAAGGCCCGCGGGCCAAATCCGTCCCGCCAGGCCTTGCAATGTGGCCCGAACCGCGCTGTCATCACTGCACTCCGCTGCGTTTCCATCACAATGACAGTTTATGACTGTTCAGTAAACCATTCGGCCCGCAATTTAGGTTGGATTTTAGATTTTGGCCCCTTCTCTGATTGAGTTCGACACCCCTAGTCTAAGACCTATTATCTGTATAGTGGAATATTTTTAAACAACAACAAGACAGGTTTGCTGATGTGCATGTTGTAGTGTTTCATGTAGAAGAAACATGATGCTTGGAATTAAAAGGTTGAGAAGAATCAAGATATTCTCAGGAGAATATGAGCAAAGAAGAAACTTTGATTTGTCTTATTTAGTGGTATAGAACTGACATCTTTGTAAAAAAAATGATCTCTGTGCCATATTTTGGGACAAACAAAACATCAATGCTGATGGGATTGCTCATAAGTAGATAGTGTATGTATGTACACAGGCAGCTTTTATATAATTAACATGTATGATTTTCATTGTAGGACCCCAAGTACAATTTGATCCAACAGTGGTTGTCAGAAAAAGGTAACCTTGGAGTCATTTCAAAAACTTTTCAATTATCTTCCCATCCAATGCTTGGTGAATGGTTCATTAGAGCTCAAGTCAATGTGAGTATAAATATATTTTTAGGGAAAACATTAAACTGATTTAAGTAGGTCAGGTGGGGAAATATATCCAAAGTCATTTACTCAATGAACAGAAAAACATTAATCTGAACATCCCGACAATTTAAGTGGTTTGTTTTTAATTTACTATGTTTTTCAATGGGTTAACTTATAATATATGAATGTCAATTATTGTTGTCTTTTTCTATGATGTAATGTTTCTAGATTAAAACATTTCACCTTTTAGTATAAAACTGATTAAATGATGTTAATTTTACTTATTTGTTGCATATATTGAGTATTTTAAAACTAAGTAATGAATACATAGGTATTATTTAACAAATTTTATGTCTCAGAATGATGACTCCTATTTTTATTTTTGTTTTAAAACACAGTGACTTTATTTTTAATTTTATTATTATTTTAAATCTTTTTTTGTTGAAAGTATTGCATATGGCCCCTTTCCCTCCATTGACCACCTTCAGCCCACCCCCCGCCCTCTGCCCCAGACCTTTTCCACCCTAGTCTCTGTGTCTATGGGTTATGCATGTATGCGTACAAGGCCTTTGGTTGATTATTCCCCACCCACCTACCCTCCCCCACCTTCCCCCAGAGATTCCACACTCTGTTCCATGCTTCCATAAAACATAATGAATTTAAACAGCCACATCCATCTTTTGTTCCCCGGTCCCTCCCCCCCCCCCCCCCCCCCCCCCCCCCGCCCCCCAGCTCTTCCACCTGCTTCCTTTATTTGCTGCTAACTCCTGTAGCTTTGGGATATAACCAGGCAGGGGCATTAGAACACCATCTGTGATTCAGGTGTTCTCCTGTGCATCACCATGTGATGTTTGAAGATCCATGGAATGCTTCCCTTTGAATTTACTAACATAAATTTGTGAATAAGAGCTTCAAAGATATTCTATTGAAACAGGGCTTCTCATGATTGACATTTGGGCTGAAAATTCTTTGTCATGGGTGCTGTCCTTTGTATCGGAGGACATTGAACAGTAACTCTGGCCTCTAACCGCTAGATGCCAGTGGTGGTCTCCCCTCTCTCCAAGTTGTGACAATCAAAAATGTCTCCAGACTTCACCAAATGTCTCCTGGGGGGAAATGCCCTCCCCTTCTCCACTGAGAACCATTGTATTGGAAGGAACAAGCATTCATTAGCATTAGACCTGAGGTAAGGTAAAAGTACCAAGTGACTGATAAAAAAGTAAACAGTTTTTTCCTTTGGCTAACATTTTCTGGAACCACATCCTAAAAGCAGAACTCGTCACCTTAGTTAGCACCTGTTTTTTGAGCATCTGCATAAAGATGAAGGGCACTCTGGGCTTGTGGAGAAGTTGTGCCAGGAAAGGGAGACAGATGGGAAATGAGAATGTGTAGAGGCATGTACAAGGCGTTATAGAAACGTAGAGCAGGGGTGATGGGTGCTGGGGGAGTAGACAATTGAACTTGTAGAGAAGGAGGAAAGAGCAGATGTTTGTGAGACTTAGGAGAGAGGATTTGTATAGAGGCAGAGAGCCTCTTGTGTCTGGGATTTGGGAGAGGTTTGGAGTGTATGGAGAATGATAGGGTTTGAGGATTAGTAAGCAGATTGTGAGTTTAAGGAGTTAGGTTTTATTCTCAGTTCCCACATTTTGATTTCACTATAAAGTCTTTAGGAATTTGTTTTTGTTTGTCCATCCATCATCCATCCATCCATCCATCCATCCATCCATCCATCCATCCATCCATCCATCCAATATGTGTTGAGGGCTTATAGTGCTATGTTGAATACAAGGAAGCTAAACATGTGATCTCTGTCTTCAAAGACCATTCCTATGGTGAGAAGAATAATATGATAAAAGTTAAATGACACAGCAGAGACAGAAAAAACAGAGGGCAGTGGAATGGTAAGGTGCTGAGTTACCGAGGTCCATCTGTGCCTCCAAGGATGGCATTTCATTGAGACCACCTTGGGATAAAGAGGATTTATTGTAAGGATGAGCACCGATGCTTTTGGGGCCAGGTATTCCCTCTGTCTCTTGTGGTCTGCTCCATTTTCTTCAGACACTTCTGACAACCTTTAAGGTGTTCTCTGGTCCAGATCTGGAATGGTCACATTGGCTCAGGTAAATCACACTGTCCTTAAAGCTTTATAAGCAAGCATCTTCATGAGTAGATGGGCTTCCCTGGGTCAGGTGTCCATCACTTGTCCATTTGGAAACCACCCAATGCAATGACTAGGCCGGGAAGTCTCAGGTAATGGTGGCATCTGAGTGATTAATTTGTTCAGTGAATAGTGAACAGAATAAGTATAAGAGGAGAGAAAGAAGAGGATAAAATAGTGGTAAAAGAGTTCTATAAGATGTAAGATTGTAGGTGGAAAGATTTATAGAATTTCTGGTTTGTGTACTTGACCTATCATATGGCTTAGGTAGGGGGAAAAGAAAAGAAAATTTTAGATACTAAAACAATTAAAAACATTTGCAAAATTTGGTCTTTGCCCACCTCTTTAGCCCTCATCTTCAGTTAAGTGCTACCTTTATCCTTGCACTTCATGCATTAGACACATATCCCGTAAGTCTATCAGACTTACCCCAGAGCCTTATCTGTCTTATCCCTTTCTGTGCTATTCTCTGGAAGACTGATTTTCACTGTTATTTCGGCAACTTGATTTTGCCCTCCAGTCATCATAAAATAAATGAACCTCTCTAGTCATTCCCATAACTCTGTGCTTGTGTTGGTTCATTCAGGTAACTGTGAATTGATGGCACGTTATAGATTATAGTCTTGGGGACTTGTTTATCCCTGTACCCCTGGGACCTAGTGCTTTGCACAAAGAAGTCAATATTTATTAAATGAATATATTAAAGCTTTAGAGTATTCATGTGTCTTGAACTAAATATAATTTGCCCTTTTCCACATTCTATAATCATCCTTATTCTTTTAAAGACAGCATGTAGATCATTGTACTTATTATTGGTGATATAATATCCCTCCCCCAAGTTTTGAGGTATAATAAAAAAATAAAACTGAAGGGTATTTAAAATGCACAATGTGATTTATATACATTATGAAAGGATTTCTCCCCCAGGTGATGTAATATTAGTGCATACAACCAAGAATAAGCCCTTTATTAAAAGAGAAAAAAAAATTCTTTAAGAGCCACTAGAGGTCAGTATAATCAAAGAAATGTTACGAGAAGCAAAACCCAACTTAGCCTTTGTCTCTGGTTTTTATCTTCTCTTGATTTCTGCACAGCATTAATGCACTGTATATTGCTTATTATTGAACTTCTTTTAGCCATTAATAATGGTGGAAATATTTTTATTATTTAAACAGTACAACATTATAGCGCGCCCCTCTCTCTCTCTCTCTCTCTCTCTCTCTCTCTCTCTCTCTCTCTCTCTCTCTCTCTCTCTCTCTCTCTCTTTCTTTCCTAAGGTAGTGACAATTCTTAGTATTAATCCCAGGGAGGGGAAAACACTTATTTTCAGGTGAGTGTTTGGAAATCACATTTTGTTTCCAGACAAAATATGGAATGATCCTACTATTACTACTAAAGGACAATTTATAAAAAAAATACAGGACTTATCAGAGCTTTGATTTGTAGTGATTATGCAGATAATCAGAGTGACATTCTTAAGTCACTCCACTAGTATCCTTTAGGCAAAGTGCACTTGGGCTCATTGGCACTTCTACAATGTAACATTTATACAGTAAGTATGTGTGAGCCATTTAATCTACTGATTACTTAAATTGCTTTTGACCTTCAAGTATTCCTTTTCACCTTCAGGATTTTTAATGATGAATAATCATTTTAGCTAGTAAAATGCTCAGGCTTTTCTTCTTATTTATTTTTATTTTTTGCATTTCCTTTATTATGTATAGTCTCTGATGGTGGAGCATAGTAAGTTCTTTATATATTATATCTTCATAGACATGTATTTTTTTTTTACAATGCTACTTTAATTAAATTGCAGAACAACTCTTTTAAAAATATATATATTTTATTGATTTTTCAGAGAGAGGAAGGGAGAGGGTTAGATAGCTAGAAACATCGATGAGAGAGAATCATCGATCAGCTGCCTCTTGCACATCCCCTACCGGGGATGTGCCCGCAACCAATGTACATTCCCTTTACCGAATTGAACCGGGACCTTCCAGTCCACAGACCGACGTTCTATCCACTGAGCCAAACCGGTTTCAGCAGAACAACTCTTGATATTATTTTTAAGCCCTCTTAAAATTAATAAAATTTAATGAGAACACTGACTTTTTAGGGGTGCTACTTGTGCATATACATAATTTGCATACCTGCATTGAATGTGAATAATTCTTTCTGCTTTGGGATTGTACTTGTTCTTCTTCTACTTCTCCCAGCTCTTTCTTTACAAAGTTTTTTGTTTTTTGTTTTTTTGTTTTGTTTTGTTTTTTATTGATTTCAGAGAGAGGAAGGGTGAGGGAGAGATAGACACATCAATCTATCTTTGGAGGGGGGATATCTATTTCTTGACTGGTATCCTTGGTTCTTCCAAATAGTTTTTTGTCCCCTCAAATTTTAAAATTATGGTAAAATACACATAAGTTTCACTTTCTTAACTATTTTTAAGTGTACAGTTCAGCGATATTAAATACATACACATTCTTGTGCAACCATCTCCAGAACTCTTTTCATCTTGCAAAACTGAAACTCTGTTCCCATTAAATAATAACTGCCCATTTCTCCTGCCCCCAGCCTCTGGCAACTACCATTCAACTCTCTGTCGCTATGATTTTGACTGCTCTCAGTATCTAATATGGTGAAATCAAACAGTGTTTGCCTTTTTGTGACCGACTCATTTCACTTTGCATACTATCATCAAGATTCATTCATATTGTAGCATGTCAGAACTACATTCCTTTTCAAGACTGAATAATATTCCCTTATAGGTATATACCAGATTTAGTTACAACTGTTCTTACATCTCTGATTTTAAAAAGTGTACCCCAGATTATTAGAAGGCAATTTTATA